TTAAATCTTTTCAATATATTCTTCTAAATAAATGATTTTTCTGTTCATTCATCATTTAATTCTGTTAGATAATTAATTCTGTTAGAATTGATGACAGAAAGGAAAAACAGAGGAATTGCATGAATCTTTGTAAAATAGGTCATCCGTATGCCATCTTGAGATTGTTGATTCTGTTGCGAAGTGTGACGGCCTCCTTTTATAAAATCGCAGTAATAGACGGATTCTCCTGTTGTATCAACAGTCAATAATCAGCAACAATATCGATGAAATCGATAAAATAACGAAACGCACGCTACAATGTTTCTATCTTATGCGTGGAAATAGAACAACAGTTAAATATGTAATCAATCGAATACAACTTGAAACAGCTGAATTAGCTGAACGTACATATTAAGTATTAAAGGAAATTTCATAATTTGAAAATTATATTTCAAAACATTATATTTCAACACAACAAATGAAACGAAACCTAATGACGCATCACAACTACTTTGAAATTCTTTAGTATTTTCACTTTCTTTCTTTCGTTTTCTAAGCTTCATAATTACTCATATCACTAGAGAACATTCAAAGGCATCAAACCAAACACGACTTATGCTCTAAATGTGTTCTGGAATGTCACCAACTTCAAATTACAATCTATTCACAATATATATTAATCCCCTGTAACCTTAATTAAACTATGAAAATAATTAATTTCCACTATAACAATAATTAATTATAAATAAATAGGTAATAACAAATTTGTAATAATTGTAATAAATTTTCAAAAATGTGTAGATACATAACGATGGCATTTATATTTTTTAAAATATTGCAAATTTTCATATACATTTTACGAATAATATATTCAACAATGACTAATGTGTAAATTATATAATTATATAAATTACATATAGTAATAACAATACTTTTTCTCGTTGTCACAAATAATGGTCATTTGTATATTGATTTTATGTAATCCAATTTTTATGTTTATCCAAACAATTTAATAAATATTACATAATTTACTCAAGATTCGCAATTATGTTAATTTCGCAATTATGTTAATATGTAAAAAAGTCAACAATATATATATATATATATATATATATATATATATATATAATTTTTTTTTCTGATTTTTCTCAATATTATGTACACATGAAATTATTAATAAAATATCTATTCTTTATATTTCAAATATATTTTTAAATCTATTATTATATATAATATTGCATCTCTCTTCAAATTTAATCATATTGTTTTAATTGTTTTGACTCACATGCGTAATGTGTGTATTATTATATAAAGTTTATATTGATAAAATTTAATAAAAATGTAAAAAAAACACATACACGCATTTTCTTAACATAAATAATTTATATGGCATTTTCTTAACTTAAATAATTTATATAAAAGAATAAAAATATATCCTTAATGGCATATGTATGTTATATTTTTAAAAATATAAAAAACATGTGATGTAATTAATAAATATTAAAATCCTCATCTTAAAAAAATGATATCATATTTGTTATCATTTAGGAATATTGATTGCGAATGCATTTTGCGATTGTCGATAACTGTATATTGCTTGTACCCTCGTAAATGGTGCCGATTTTCGCGTCTCTGAAATACTTCTCCTGTGGGAAATCAGTCGTAAAGCCGACACCTCCGACAAAGTCGATGCATTTCGCGGTGATACGACACGCGGTCTCGGATGCGAAGAGTTTCGCCATAGCCGCCTCTTTCATAACGTCCTTTTTGGCCTCGACCAATCTCACAGCATTGTAAACGAGTAACCTGGCGCACTCCAATTCCGTTACCGCTTGAGCTATTTGATGTTGCAGACTTTGGAAGGAGAACACGTCTTTCCCAAATTGTCTTCTCTCCAACACGTATGGTATCGTCGCGTCTAAGGATCCCTGGGCGATGCCGATCATCTGCGCGCCAACGCCGATTCTACCCTCGTTCAGAAATCCAGCCGCGTATTTATAACCGTGCCCGAATTTGCCCAAGAGATTGTCCTCGGGTATTCTGACGTTATCGAAATGGACCATGCAGGTACCGGACGCCCTGATGCCCATCTTGTTCTCGGGCTTGTCCACCGTCAGACCTGGTGTGTCGCGGTCCACGAGGAAGGCCGTGATGCCGCGATAACCGGCGGCGGGATTCGCGTTGGCGAACAGCACGAAGACCTGCGCCACGTCGGAGTTCGATATCCACATCTTCGTGCCGTTGATCACGTATTCGGCGCCGTCCTTTCGCGCCTCGGTCCTCAGCGAGAAGGCGTCCGATCCCGACTCAGGCTCCGTTATGCAGAAGCTACCCACGGAATCCCGGGCTAGCTTGGGCAGGTACTTTCGCCTCTGTTCCTCGGATCCGATCTTGAGTATCAATGAATTTATCAGGGTGTTCTGGATGTCGAGAGGCACCGACACCGCCGCGTCGACCTTGGCGATCTCCTCGATGGTCAGTATCGTGCTCATGAATTACTTCCCGTCCCGCCGTACTCGGTCGGGATCTCGATCCCCATCAGACCGTTCTCGAAGAGCTTTCGAAACACATGATCATCTATCCTTCCTTCCCTCTCCATTTTTCGTACGAACGGTGCGATCTCCTGCTTGGCCAGTTTAGCGACCATCTCCTTCGTCATAAGCTCGTCATCTGTGAATTGTGTCAACGGGCCCGTGTGCTGTTGAAAACGCGACGCGTGTAAATGTAATCGGCGCGTCGCGGTCAATTTTTCTGCTGTACGACGTAAAGCGCATCGAAGCGCAAATGGATACATGATCGGCACGTTTATTCCGAGAGAAAAGAAAAAGGAAGAAAAATTTCCGAATATTTAGTGAAGAATGTAATCGGTAAAATTTCGATAATGTATCTACGACGGGTCAATTATGCGTGTAATTACGCAGCTGATACGAACTGCGCACTACCAACGCCACGCGTTTACGAAATATCGTGTGACGTGGCATTTAGTTTAAGTACCTAGCGCGCGGACCGTGAAGAAATAGTAAATTTTTATCTAGAGATAAAAATTTTAAATATGAATAAGCAAGCAGAGCAAAGTACGCCCCGGGCGTTTTTCTTTAAAATATGTCAATAAAGAATTTATGGTTTGTAAATGCACGAAGATAATTGAAGAACACCGATCCGCTTGACGTCGGAAAGTTGATTCTCGACTACTTTGGTCTTAGCTTATCTAAATCCATTTTCTCCCTACTTTTCTCTTCTAGCGAATGTTTCATAGGCGTAGAAAACGTAAACTATTTGTATCCAATTCTCATGTAAGTGGGAAGTGTTCACTCGCATGGAAAAAATAAAGTTATTTGAGGAAGTTTGTTATATCTTTTTTGTACTTTGCATTATATATTTAAACACTCACACTATACCAAATTAGTATACATTAAGCGCTACTATGAAATTATTAAAATGTAAAAATACATAAAAATTATATATACTCAACAATTAATTTTATCATTTTATTTAGCAAAATATGCATTAATATCGTGAGAAAAATTATATTATACATTTAGATATTTTATATATAACAGCCTTTAATGTGCATTAATTCGGTGTAATGCAGATGAATTTGAAAAAAGAGATTGTATATATCTTTTATTTCCCAGAAAGGAAAAAACATAACTTTCCAAATATCGTTTTCATTTTTGTTTTATTGTCTTGTTTTATTTTACTGTTTTATTGTTTTATTGTCTTGTGTTGTTTAATTGTTTTATTGTCTTATTTGCCTTCTTACTAAGTAATCGATTTTTGTCTTTAGATTTTTATTATTATTTAGCTCTTAAAAACCGCAAAAACTTAATAACATTAATTTACTTCTATGAAACATATGATAAGATTCATTGCTGTAGATAAATTGTGTTAAATGCGTTTAAATATATATATTTCGTTATCAAATGTGTATTTCTTGTATACTCTCGGTAAAATCTATTTCATTAAAATTTCATTAAAATTGTTTAATAATAAATCGTAAATATTTTGTATTTATGAATACTAATAATTTTTTTTCGCTAAAAAGTAAACTGAGTAATTAATAATTTCATATTTTAAAATCTGTAAAAAAGCAAATTATAAAAGGAATGTTAAAGACAACTATTTTTTGGATTCTAGTTTAAATCTTTTTAATATATTCTTCTAAATAAACGATTTTTCTGTTCCACTCATTATCCTGTTAGATAATGAATTGGTGACGGAGAGAAAAAACAGAGAAATTGCATGAATCTTTGTAAAATAGATCATCCGTATGTCATCTTGAGATTGTTGATTTTGTTGCGAAGTATGATGGGCTCCTTTTATAAAATCGCAATGATAAACAGATTCTTCATTGCATCAACAGCCAATCAGCAATAATACCAATGAAACCAATAAAATAACGAAACACATGCTGTGTTTCTATCTTACGCATGTGTGGAAATAGGTCAAACAGCTAAATATATAATCAATCGAACTTGAATTAACTGAATTAACTAAACGTACATATTAAGCATTAAAGGAGATTTCATAATTTGAAAATTATATTTCAACATAAAAAATAAAACGAAATCTAATAACGCATCCCAACGACTTTACAATTCTTTAGATATTTTCACTTTCTAAACTTTCATTTTCGAAGCTTTGTCATTAGTCATATCATTAGAGAACATACAAAGGCATCAGACCAAACACGACTTATGCTCTAAACGCGTCCTGGAATGTCGCCAACTGAGTCACAATCTAGAATCCCTGTGTGTTCAGTAGTGCGGTTCAGTAGCACGAATAATCGCTGTCGTACCGTAGACATAAACGCCTTAAATTCATGTTACTACCAAAAGAACAGTATCCACAGTGTAAAGTTGTGACGTAGTATCTCCATATCTCCATTACCTTTGTGCCTACAGTACTATCAAATAACTACCTGAACGATTATCGCGCTAGATGGCAGCATGCATAACACGTTTCCCGCGCATCGTAAGTCCCCACCACTGACGCGCTGACCAATCAGCATCTGGCGTGCAGAGCTGGCTATCCTATATAAGAGAAGCGTTTCGTACGCCTCGTGCATATCGTCATAGCTCGCAGTGGTGTACGTAACGTTTGACCGTTGAAGATGGCAAGAACCAAGCAGACCGCTCGTAAATCGACCGGAGGCAAAGCTCCGCGTAAACAGCTGGCGACGAAAGCAGCACGTAAGAGTGCTCCCGCGACCGGTGGTGTGAAGAAACCTCATCGTTACCGTCCTGGGACTGTCGCGCTTCGTGAAATTCGTCGTTACCAGAAGAGTACGGAGCTTCTGATCCGCAAGCTTCCATTCCAGCGACTAGTCCGTGAGATCGCCCAGGACTTTAAGACCGATCTTCGCTTCCAGAGCTCGGCAGTCATGGCCTTGCAGGAAGCTAGTGAAGCTTATCTCGTTGGACTGTTTGAAGATACCAATCTTTGTGCGATTCACGCCAAAAGGGTTACCATCATGCCCAAAGACATCCAGCTGGCTCGCAGAATTCGTGGAGAACGTGCCTAAAATACCTCTTTTTCAAACGGCCCTTTTCAGGGCCAAAATTTCTTACACGAAGGAATATCTTGTGTTCTAAACGTACAAATTTTTAATCTATGATACATCTAGGATTTTAAATTCTCATTTTATTTATACTTTTTTATCCACAAAAGTGCATTTTAGGTTAATATTATGATTTGTTGTACGATACATTTTTTGAGCGTGTTACTATACAATAAAAAAATTGCAAGTTCTCAAAATTTTTTTATCTTAGAATCAATTGTAACACGCTTAATAAAATTTTACGATAAATGTAACAGTATTCTTATATGATGAAAGTAACGCCAGCAATTGGCGCGCTTTTAGGCTGAGCGACGCTTAGTTTTGGCGCGCTTTTGCGATGCACACTTAGCGTCGTCTAACGACATCTCAATACAACGCATTTTATGACAGACTACAAATTAATTTTTCTAGAACTAATATATGTACATAATATTTTATAACTTTTACAGTTTAAATGCAACGAACAAAAATAAGGCATCAAATATAAAAAATTAAGAACAGGAAATTATTTTTTCGACTAATGAAAGAACTTGAACGTCTTATTCGTGTATTGAAGCATGAATTTTTATATATCGAATTACAATTATTTTTAACTTTTTGTTTCTTCTTTAATTATGTTTTGGGTCTTTGGCATTCGTTAAATTCTGAAATATTAACAGAGGAAACAATTAGTAATCACGCGGAATAACGAGATTCGCGTTAGGAGTCTCATCGCAAAAGCGCGCCAAAACTGTTAGCATTACGATGTCGCGTCACAAGATGGCGCGAACAAACCTCAAACAATCTCCCCTACATTCGTGAAACTTCGTGAAAGTTTGATAAGAAATATGAAATATGAAATCGTCCTTGAAATGATTTGTACTTGCATTCCCGCAGATACATGGATATTTGCAATATAGCGATTTTTTTGATTACATTACAAATGAAATATGAGAAGAGTCGCGTCTTCGCATCCATCAATGCTATGTGCTTATCATCGTTATTAATAGCGCGTACGACTCGCAATTGATCGCCGGATTAAATCATACGTATTAATTCATGCTCGTCATCGCTTTTTGTCGTATTATATCGCTGTATATTTTTGGCAGCTGACAGAGGAATCCCCGAAAGAACAATACGACGCATTCTCGCGTCGCACTAGTTTCCGTTATCGCGCATTACGGGCCGCGTCATACGAAACCTGTAATCTTTCCCTAGCGATTTCCTTTGACACGCGACTACAACGATCACGGGATCGCCCGTGATCGAAAGGAAAGTTTTAGTCGGACCATGTCGGAAAGCGACAGTTTCTTCTCAGAACGAACGGTCCGCTTGGGTGGGGAAAATCGATAGGAAAAGGCGAGTTCAAAGTGCCGAGGAAGAAGAGTACGTAGTACGGTAGTGTTACGGTAGTAGTACGGCGTGCCGTTTAACGGATCTCCCTCGGCGTGCCGAACGAGCCGACGATTATCATCGACGTATCGCCGACGGCGATAACGACGACGACAAAGACGACGACGAGACGCGGTGATGTTAGAACGGAGATGTTCCCGGGAGAATCTCATTGGGTCTCGATGAGGGCTGCCGCGAGTACGGTGGGAAAGCAGCGTCCGCGTCGCGTGTCATACGGCAACAGCTGTGCAGGGGATCGCGCGAGAAGATGTTGAGGATGTCCGACGGCTCCTGACGACGGCCCGCGACACGAGGCGAGACGCGCGGCGTGGCTAGGCGAGGCGCAGACGGAGGCGAAAGCAAAAGCGGAGAAGGCGGAGCCCGCGAGTGCCAGGTCGATCCTGCGGGGATCAGCGCGTTACTGGAAAATGACTGCCGGTGCTCGACGACTGCTGGTGCGCGTCCTCTGCGTGCTCCTCTGCCTGTCGTTACGGCCGGACCGCGCGGACTCCACTCACATCACCGGCACGTTCGACACGCGGGAGTTCTTCCGGTTCCTCATCAAGTTCGGCTTCCAGAAGACCGACCGTCACCGGCAGAAGGACTCGTACGGCTACATATTCGGCAATGTTACAGCGAGGTCGGACTTCGACGTGCCAATCACCCTCGCGATACTCGACCGCGGCCACTTCCTCGAGTACTACGGTAATCGCACATTGACGGACAAGAGCGCCGCGTGCGCTTATATGTTTAATACGCTGAAGAAGAGTTCCTATGATCCGGACTGCAATGAGGAGGGTCAGGATTTCCTGAGGTAGGTCTTGTTTTTTTTTTGCCGTTTTTGTTTTTATCTATCAAACGTCAACTTATTTTAACTTTTGATTTGAACTTTTGAAGGCGAGTCCCGTGTCCCCGAGATAAATTGTGTCCGGATGAAGACTCGGTGTGGAATATCGTGAAGGGACATCAATTCACATATGTTATACAAGATTTTTGGCAGCCACGATTTTGGTATATGAGCCTGGTTGCCTGCTACAGAAACAAGACAACCTGCCAATGGGAGTATTACAGCAAGCACGACGAGTTGAAGTATGACATCTGGCTGGTAAACGGCAACCCAAACGTCAGTGGCCTAAACAGTTTGACTTACCAATTTTCGTACGACAGACAAAATACCATCGAATTGTACTTGCTGTTTTTCGTATGTTACATCATATTAGTGCCACTACAGCTGTATGCAGTGAGATTGCAAAAGCATCCTGTAACAAGATTGTTCACTGCTAGTTTATTACTAGAATTTGTGGCTATATGTTTAATCTTGATACACGTGTTGAAATTTGCACTGGATGGAGTGGGCTACGAGCAATTAGAAGTTGCAGGTGATATTTTTGATATCTTGTCACGGGTAAGGAAAATATTTTATTTTTAATGTTGTATGCTATTCAGTTAAATAATCTAATATATATTTTATGTAATATGACCATATCTTTTAATCTATTTAAGTTTGTTGAGACAAATCATTTATTCTTAACATTTCTAAAATATATAAACAATGTATAAATGTAATTTAAAATCTTAATCATTGAATAGTGATTTTCATATTTGTGATTTTGATGTAATCATTTTTATATTTTTAGACATCCTTTATGTTATTATTACTCCTACTTGCCAAAGGATGGGCAGTAACAAGAATGGAATTAACATGGAAGCCACTGGTGTTTGCTATATGGTTTTGTTATGGAGTTGTGCACATCTTATTATATGTATGGAATATGGTAACTATTGTATATATTCTCCCTCTATTTATTTACATTTGTGACAATTCTTAATCAATAAATATAAATTCATTTTTAGACAGAGGTTGACATTATCGAAGATATAGATGAATATCAAACTTGGCCAGGATGGTTCATATTGTTATTTCGAAGTGCCATAATGATATGGTTTTTATATGAACTTCGAAACACCATGACATACGAGCATAATACTCAAAAATTAAACTTTCTCCTTCATTTTGGTGCATCGTCATTAGTTTGGTTTATATATTTACCTATTATAGCACTTATAGCGCTTCAAGTAAGTGCACTGTGGAGGTTTAAGCTGTTATTAGGTATGCAAAGTTGAAAAATAAAATAATTTTTAACATTTTTAAATATTTTTTAATTTTTATATTGTCGATTTGCAGGTATAACATATTCAGCAGACTGTTTCGCTTATTGTGTAATGGCTCATTTGTTATGGCCCACTAGAAGTGAACAATATTTTTTACTTGCGCAAGGCGCGGATAATGGTGATGAACTCGATGAATTCAACGAAGCGCCGCATGTATTAAATAATTATGTAGAACCGCCGGAACTCGGTAAAATAATTACTTAATACTCGTCCATTGGAAATATAATAATAAAAACTTTGACATTTTTAATTACAAGTGATGTGATGAATATTTGCCAAATGGTCAATCTAATAGAATGAATAATACTCTAATATGTGCTATTGAACTGAGAGCGAGAGAGAGAGAGAAAGAGAGAGAGAGAGAAATTGTGCACATCTTGTAATTAGTGATATATCAATTGTCAAATTCAATTATGTGATAACAAATTAATAGATGATATGGAAATGGCTGATGAGTATGATATGAGTACATACTATGAACAAATATAATTTTTGATTCTTAACATATGTATATATGTATTAATAATTAATAATTTTATATTTTAAATATTATATCGAGCAACAATGTATCAACAATAATCACACATACATATATTATACATATATTACACAGAATTTAAAAATTAATTATATATACAAAATAATATAATCTCGAAAATTTATTTTCCAAACAATCTTTTTCCGAATTACTATTTTACTTACTCATATCATATTCATAAATCTGAAATCTAAAATAGTATTAACTTTTGTTCATTTTTAATAATTTTATACATTTTGATTTCATAAAAAAGAAGATCCTACAACTTCTATATTGTATATAAAAAAAATTTTAACAAGTATACATTTTTAATTTGCACTCATTTAATTTGTCATTACATCTTGTAATTATTGCATGTCTACTCTTTACTAGAATATTACAATGTGCACTTGAATAAGAATGATGGAAATAAAATACTTATATAAATTTCATAACAATTTGATTCTAGTTGAATGGTTTTAAAATTGCATACATAATAGTTGTGTTTCTAAAGTCATACTGATTTATTAATAGAAAACTTAGCAGGAATTACATGATGTTCCAAAATAACCATAAACATTCTTTTAAAAATTCTTTTATAAATTCTTTGATTAATTCATATTAAGATACTAATAATTTTTGAACAATTAACGATTGAAAAAAATGAAATATTTTCTTCAAATAATTTTAATTAAATTTTAGTAAAATTTAAAAATTAGAAAAGAATACAAATTGAAAAATTACATTTAACTAATGAGTTTTAACAATTGAGGAAAAATCATTTATAAATTGAATGAAGAAGTTATGGTTAAAAGGAAATGATTTTGATACAGAAGAGCACTTTTATATTTGTTTTTATTTTAGTTAAATTTTATGAAAAGTTTTAACCTTGTCATGAAATTATTTTGTTATTAGGTAGGCATATATATAAATAATAATCACATACAAATGCAGAAAGAGCACCTTTATAGAATTCTTCCAATTTTATTCAAATAAGATTACATGTGTTTTGCACATTGTTGGACAAATATAAATACTTTGTATAAAAGATTGAAATACGATCTGATATGTGAGTTTATGCTAGCTGTAAGCGCATGTTTTCTTGTCATACTATTATTGCTCAATCTTGTAATAACTTAGATAATATGATTGTGTATATACTCTTGAGAATATTTTAATGCTCAGCGTATATAATATATATACGTATCTAATAGCATATATAATATATCTTAGGATATCTTATAGGATTGATAAAATCTTTATGATACATTTATATTTCAAATATCTACTAAGATGAAAGCAATTTACTATAATATTCTTGATTTCTTTGTAATATTATCTATGTTGAGTTATATTTAAAATTTTAAGCATTTTTTTTTAAGTAACACTGTTATATAAGTTATGTCTATGTGTGTATGTGTTTATATATATATATATATATATATATTTTTTTATTTTCAAAAGTATGCGTACCTTCAAACTTGTTTTGAAATGCTTTTTATAGATAAATGAAGAAAGTAGTATTATAGCAAATATTTTAGTATAATGAAATTATTATATCACACTATTACAATCGAACCAAGCAAAAAAAATATTTAATGTGATTTTTTGCCAGGATAATGTATTATAACTTGATTATCTTGATAATAATAATTGTTTTATATATTTAACTGAACATTTTTTGTATATTTACATTTAATACAGACTTCTTTAGCAAAAAAAAAACCATTTAATCTTAATTTAATTTTTTAAAATATACGCTTTAAGTTACTTTCAAGTTACTTTCAAGAATGAATATTTATTTTATATATTCATTGAGAATGAATATTTATATATATATATTCATTTTCCTCTTTTTTTTGCACACACACATACACAATATATTATTTAGAAACTAAATACTAAATTGAAATTTAAGGAATATATTGATCGTATATTAAAATTATAATATTCTGAAATTAGTTTTTATATAAAAATGAATCTTTTTCTTAAATTTTATCAAAAAATTGCAGTATCTTTTTCAGTTATTCAATATTATTTTTTAAATATACTAAGATTTAAATAAACTTTAAATAAATTGAATTGTGTAATTTGATTAAGACACTTGATTTTTTAATAAGTATTCCTTTTAATTTATATAAGTTTATAATTAATACAAATTTATAATAATCTTAATTTTGATGTAAGACTGTCAATAACTTCATTAGATCCAGGTCCTATACCAACAACTGTGACTGTGCCAGGCCTCAATTGTGTTTTACCAGCATCTCTTATTATGGCAGTAATTAAACCAGCGCGTTGAGCTTTATCTGCCAAGGTTAATAACTCTTGTTCATTTGGTATTTTAACAATAATTTTAGGTTGTCCTACTTGTAACCAGGATTGAAACATTAATCGTTTCTTTTCATTATTGAAGGTCTGACGACAGCATTCTAGCGCAGCGTGAGCGCATTGAGCAGCAGTTTTACCTTTTCCCATAGGTAAATCTGAACGAACCACTATCACCATTTTACATTTCTCTCCATTCCAAATGGGTGATAAGAAAGATCTGATATATTTACTTATGAAATACATTTTTTTACAATCTTTTACAATTACAAACAGCTATCACTAATCATTGTCTTAGTTCTTGTTGTTTTGTATATTTAGCCATACATTCTTTAAACTTTGTTACTTCATTCTGACACTTTCTCCAATCTTGATGTTCAGCTATACATTCCTAGAAATTAGGAATTAAATGAAATAAAATTAAGAATGTTATTAATGTAATCAAAGTACTTCACATTAATTAATTTAAACTTTCTATTACTTTTCTAATATTGAAACCATACATGATTAACTCAAGTTAAAATTAGACAAATTATTATAAGTGATTATATATATATATCACCCACATGAACATACTTGAACTTGATAATGCAATTCTATGCAACCGGTTTTCTGTAACATTCGCTCGACGGGATCTTCAATTTCCTTCTCAGCATCAATGTTCAGGGATGCGGTCATATTATGATATCGATGCTTGGATGAAAAAGATTTAAATTAAATACACTGAAATGATCATTTCAATTAAATCATCAATAACGTGTCCTTTAAAAATTTCAACAAAATACACGTGGACATAATATAGAGGTTAATTTACTTTTAGCAAATTAGTATTAAATTAGTATTTTTAAACCATAAACCGTGCGATTTATAATTCGAACAGATTTAAGTACAATACGAGTAATATTTGAATGAACTGACCCAGGTTAAATGAAAGCATAGAAAATTAGAGAAATCATATGTGTTTTAGGTGAACTTTGTACCGACGACGTAAAACTATACTGCCATGCTTCGAATTTTTCGAATAGGTAACACAGTTTTCTCATTTCGTAATTTATATACATTTTCATGCCTAGAATATATTTTGAGAAGGAAAATCCTTGCTTCTGATTTTCGTATTTACAAAACTTATTGACGTTGATAAGTGATAAATTAAAATATGGTAATTTAATAATAATTTATGCATATTTGCATATTCATATGCTCTGCTTTAATTAATTACAAACACAAATTATTTTCTGATATAATTTAAATTATAACAGAGAATAGTTTAATTCAAAATTTATATCTTTTTCATCTTTTTATGTGTAAAATTTAAAAAACTTTGAAATTAAAAACCAATTAATAGCCGCAAAAGTAGTTTTTTTCACAATTATCATATTTCTACGGATAATTGAACACGAATGTGAACTATAAAAATACAATTTTAAATAGATTTAAATATTATATTTTAATACTATGGTGCAAATATACATGTCTAAAGAAGATAGAATAATAAATCAAAATTAATATTACAGTATGAGCCAATTATTTAAATTTTATGCCGTACGAATTCTTTCTCTTTCATAAAATTGTCGTTTTTTTTAATAGTATTTAGTCAGTGTTACTCTTTTATTATACTTTTTTTTATATGTATCACTTGTCCAGCGCGTGAGATTGTGCGAATAAATAAAATATGCTATCGTAATTGCATTTCACTTGCGAGAAAGAGACGCGACGATGCGGCGACCGGAGCGCCGCCGGCATTCAATCGTCGCAACTACGGTTGCGTGAAAGTAAACCAAACGCGTGTGAAGGCTGCGAGAGATCACGGAACAGTCAGGAGGGCATTATCCGATTTGCTCGAAATTTCAAAGGTATTTATCGAGAAGACAGCGCTTTCATTATCGCGCGTACATTCGAGCGGCCCGGCGCCGCTTCGCGCGGCCGCGCGGAACATCCGGCGGCGGTTCCCGACGCCGACGTCGACGTTGACGTCGACGTCTTGACGAATGTCCGGCTTTCGCGGTACCCGCTGCTATTCGTCGCGGGAATGCGGCACCGCCTTTTCTCGTTACTCGTGTTACACTCATTGTGACAGCCTCCGGCTTGTTTTCGCCTCGGTAGGTGCCGCTCGATAATCGTGACGGATCGGGCGCGGCGATTCGCCGCGACTCCTTACGTGTCTTGTCTCGTTGATTATTTATTTATAACATTCGCCCATATATCGGAAATCTGGATTAGGACCGAAAGAGGGAACGGGCGAATCAAACCGCGGTAATGGTACGCATCTATTAGGTGCGTTTTCCAATTTTTTTCCTTCACGCGTTTTTTTTATTTTATTTTTTATTTTTCGTTTGATTTCTCTTCTTCCGTGGACAAAAGTCGCGATGAATCATACGGTGAATAACAATGACGTGTAGTTAGAATATTACTATGTAGTTTGGTTAGTAAATTTGTTTTTTTTTTCTGGTTGATGCTGTCGCTTATAACTTTGACAGCGATGTATCTGGAATATTGCTTATCTCTTTTGATATTTATTAGCTATAATATTAAAAATCAGCTGTTCTTACATTTCTTATCTTATATTTATCATGATAAATTATATCATTGAGATAAATATAATCATTGAGATTGTCCCTATTTCTCGTAGAAAATATGAAATTTATAATTTATTGTTGACAAAATAACAGTATAAACCTTATGTGCTGTATAATATTTAAACTAGCTAGAAGTTTTCTACTTTTTATAATATAATACTGTAAATTACCTTTTTTGAATATGCATATTTTTTATGTGATATATAAATTATATTAAGACTAGGAACATACATATACATTCTACCCTGGTCTCTTAGATTTCTCACACTGACAACATAATTCTCACATCCTGCCATTGTTATCTTTGCTCTGCTTTAATTAAGATAATCATCAGAAAGAAACCCTTTTAAAGAAATGCAGTAGATGTATATATATTTTATAATTATAATTTTGTTGTTTTCCTTTATTTCTTGTTATAATGCAAATATACATGGAGATTTTTGTAAAAAGATTCATAAGAAATAATGCAAATAGTAAATAATGTTAAGTCAAGTAGATTTATTTTGAAATTTTGAATATTGCGAACAAAACAACAAAATTATATTACTGTACTTTTAAGACATGGTGGACGTTTACTGACCACTTTATCTTAATTGAAGGTAATTATCTCAAAAATGTCAAGAAAGCCAGGAGCTACTCAAGCCATGCATAAGGTCATAATGGTTGGGAGTGGAGGTGTTGGAAAATCTGCTCTGACGTTACAATTTATGTATGATGAGGTAAAAATAAGTTGAAAAGAATCTTGTAAATTAAATGTTGCTTGTCATTACTTCAGCTTAACATCTAATATAATTCTTACTTCTTTTAAGGTTCTACTTATAAATTTATCATATTTTGAAAAGATTTTACTTTTAAATGTATTACATGAAAAAGATTTTATTTCCTATGATTTTAATTACGATGTTAAAATCAGTTTGTTGAAGATTACGAACCTACAAAAGCAGATTCCTATAGAAAGAAAGTTGTATTAGACGGAGAAGAGGTACAAATAGATATTCTGGATACTGCAGGACAAGAAGATTACGCAGCAATTCGAGACAATTACTTTCGTAGTGGAGAAGGCTTCCTCTGTGTATTTTCGATAACAGAAGATGATAGCTTTCAGGCTACACAGGAATTTAGGTAAAGTTTAAGTTTGATATAGTTTATCATGAGTTTATGAAATAAAAAGCGACTAGAGGAAATTTTAATATATAATTATTTTATATTGTGATTATGCCACATGAACAAAAAAAAACTTTTCTTTTCTATAGAGAACAGATTCTCAGGGTAAAAAATGATGAGAACATACCATTTTTATTAGTGGGAAATAAAAGTGATTTACAAGAAAAAAGAAAAGTCAGTTTAGCCGAAGCTCAAGCAAGGTCTCAACAGTGGGGTGTTCCTTATGTGGAAACAAGCGCTAAAACAAAAGAAAATGTAGATAAGGTAAAACACTAGCTATACACAATCTGATTTAATTTAATATTAATAAATTATAACAGTTATAAGTCATAACAAATATTTATATAATTTGTTTTTTATATTAACGTTATTTTTGAGCAAAAATATTTTTGATTCTGATTTTTTCTTTCTGATTTCAACTTTTATTAAAATGATTGTTATAAAATTAACTATTTTTTTAATTAGGTTTTATATTAGGTTTTATATTTAATATTGAATTAAATATTTTATAACAGAACACTTCAAAAACATATATACATGCATACCAATGTAGTTAAATTATTGAAAATAGTAGATGCATTCATATACATATTTCTTATCGCTTTCATTTTCACTTCACCTTCAATGTAATGTATCGCATATGAATTGATTGCACGAAATATGCATTTTTCAATAGGCTTAATTCTGCAATCTATGTATATTTATACATTGTTATATCACCATGTATTGTGCTACTGCTTATATGCGCACAATCCTTGTTTTCTTCTTTTACAAATATGAAGGATATAACATTTATTTCATAGTGCACATTTTATAACGCCTTAAAGCTTTAGATAGCATCCATTGCACATTTGCAGGTATTTTTCGACTTGATGCGTGAAATAAGGTCACGCAAAATTGAAGATAAATCAGCAAGCAATGGTCGAGGTAAAGACCGTACCAAGAGGAAGAAAAAGAAGTGCATTATTCTATAGGTTTGCCGTTTTTTCTCGCACCATATTTTATTTCTTGTTTCAAAAAAACAATAGAATTATGGCATTTTCTAATTTGGCAATTTATAATTTAATATTGGTGTATATTGTATAAGGAATGTCAGAGTGTATTTAATTAACGCAATTTCTGGTTTTTAATAGCTATCACAGATATGCAATAAAAATATATGATTTAATTATTATTATGATGTGATAATTTTTCAAAAATATTAAATATTTTAAAAGTAAATAAATATATTTATTGCATATCTTTATTTTAACTGTGCTTTAAATTTGTTGATACAAATTCATGTAATTCTTGTCAAAATCTTTATACTTTTAAGTTTTTACAAACATCTACAAAATAAGTACGAAACACTTTTACCTGTAAAGCTCATCACAGCTTATGCAAAGCATGTATGCTTTTTTTTGTCTTTTTTTGTTTTTTTTAACAACATTGTGTTATATCTTGTATTACACATCAGATAAGTTAGTTATTTTTATGAACATTTAGTTTTATAAGAAAAGAGAAAAGCATTAAATATTTTTTCTTTAATTAAGACATGTTGCCATAGCAATAAAAAATTATAATTTGTTTTTACAATCTTAAAAATAAACTAAATTCTATAAAAATAAACTAAATTCTACAGATTTAATAATTTCTTCTTTATTAATGATATTTTAAAATATTGTCTTGATGAAATGTAAGTAAAGAAAAAATTGTTTTAACAGAAGAATGTTTTAAAAGTGCTTTATGTGATGGATACAAATCTTCTTTTAAAGAATCTTGTATAATATATTAAATTTCAGATGATTAATTTACATAAAGAAGTAGATAAAAATATATCTACTCTATAATATTACAGGTGTTCTTTGATTTAATGAGAGCAATAGCTGCTCGCAAGGCGCAAGAAAATCAAGCAGATGGGAGTGAACGTAAGAAGAAAACCAACTGCTGCATCTTGCTATAACAAACATAAAACAATATGTAGCTTGGAAGGTTCAACTCCTGTAACTGAAAGCTAAGCGTAAGAGAACTGTATTTATATAAAAATGAAAGTTTTCTGACACTTTACAGTGGACTGACGCTTTTAATCTTTGCTGTTCATTATATTATAGAATATATTTAAAAACTTAAGGTATACATACGATTTATTCTAATATATAT